GTTCTGAACCCTGAGGACAGAATGATGTACAAAGTCAAGTTCTCTGACACTGCGGAGCTTATTAAGAGAGATGACATACACAGAAGCAAAAGTGGACACAGTCAGGCTTCAGTGAAAATTAACAGGAGGACCACCGAGGGTGGTCATAGACGGTTTCTTTGCAGAGCTGTCTGTTGAGCAGAGGGCTTAGTGTGAGGGGATAGGTCCTTAAAGGCAAAGGAAACAACATGTACAATTGAAATGAGAAAGAAGTTGGCATTTTTGAGAAGTAGAAAAGTCAGTGCAGCTGGGGCAAGGCTGATGACACTAGAGGAGCAAGGAAGGCTTCCAAGCCATGGCAAGGAGGTTAGCTTGTAACCTGTGTCTAATGCAAAGTCCTAAAAGGAGTAGCGGCAGGGGAATGGCATCATGTAATTTGTGGGGGGGTTAATCCTTACCCGGGATGGTGTTTTTATTGATTTGAGAGAGAGAGGAAGGGTGAGGGAGAGAGAGAGAAACACATAAACGTCCATCAGTTGCCTCCTGTACACACCCTGACTGGGGATCAAACCCACAACCTGGGTATGTGCCTTTCGGTATATGGGATGATGCTCCAACCAACTGAGCCACACTGCCCAGGGCTAATTTATATTTTTGTATTATCACTTTGGCACCTAAGTAGAAAATTAATTAGTAGGCGGGAAGTGTGAGAAAAATATGAAAATCTTGCATCTCTGAAAGAGCCGATGACGTTTATACCCTCCCAGAAACTCATATGCCATCTTTGAGTACTCCGCCAATAATAGTGCTTATTATTTATGGAGAAGTTACTGTGTGCCAGATAGTGTCGACCATGTATGAGCGTGTTACGTAAATCATTGTCTAATGAACACAAACTCTATGAAGTGAGTATGATCAGTATCATTACAGAGACGAGGAAACCGATGGTCAGCAAAGCTAACGAAAGTTCCGAAGGTCCTATAATTGACAACTAGCGGAGCTACTAGTATAGTTTGAATCAGGTCTTATCTGCCCCCAATCTTCCAAGTGCATCCTCTGCTGTTGCCAGATAAATTTTCCAAACTCCAGTGAGCATCCTTACTTGGGGAAAAGTAGAGTGCTTTTGAAAAAGACCATTTGAAGAAAGGCTTTTGATCCTGATAACAATCCCACATGGATTGAGTACAGTACAGAGATACAATCTTTAACTTCTAGTCATCTGGTTATATAAAAAATTTTTATTTATTTCCACAGATATTAAGAATTTCTGCTAAGGAGCTAGTGGGAAAGCAACACCCCTGAAGGGGCAATCAATAGCAAAATGTCAAGTGTTCAATGCGAAGGCCTTGTTTCATGGGCAGTTTCTCTGCAAAGTGTTAGATGTGAGTCAGGTGACAGCAGACAGCAGGTCTCCCGTGTGTCCTCGAGAAGCAAAGCCAAAGCTGCACCCTCCAGGCCAAATTAACCCTCTCCAAGCTTTGACCAAGTTATGGGCCCGTTATTAACAAGGTGGGAGAGGGTGCTGGTTACACATCAAAAGCAAGGGGCTGCAATGCCTGCTTCCTCTTTCAAATGCAGAGACTTGTGTATCCAGTCATCTAGAAACTTTTGTTCTCCTGGACCAGGAATTGTGAATTTCTCCTCGCTGCCTGCTGACATTTCTACCCTATTTCTTCTAACCCACATATTTTTAGTGTTACCCAAATGATTTATCAGCTAAATCCTCTATTTTGAGGTACATTTCACTAAATCCATGTAAATTATATTCCACTTCAATTGGCTTGGGTTATATAGTACATCACACACACACTTATTAAATGCAACCTAATCTAAAATACTGTAGACACTGTTTGCCCAGCTGGTGTGGCTCAGTGGTTGAGTGTTGGCCTATGAACCAGGAGGTCATGGTTCGATTCCCAGTCAGGGCACATGCCCAGGTTGCGGGCTCGATCCCCAATAGAGGACCCGCAGGAGGAAGCCAAACAATGATTTTCTCTCATCATTGATGTTTCTATCTCTCCCTGTCCCTTCCTCTGAAATCAATAAAAATATATTTTAAAAAATAAAATAAAATAGACACTGTTCACGTTCATTATGTAATGTAGTTTTAATGAGTATCTGAGATCTCAAAGGAATCAAGTTAAAAACTCTTATCACTTATACATCCCACTATATCTTTTTAACTTAAATTTTAAATGTTATTAAGTAGCTATTTTCTCTAGGATGGAATATAAGCAATTCTCTGTTATTTGAAAAGCAGAGAAAAATTAGTGTAAACGTATGTCCAATAATGTAATGTAAGAAAAATATGTTCGACTTTAGAATTATTCTCCATAATCTGTTTTACTTTTCTCAAACTTATTTTGCTTATTAAACTTAACTTGCAGGTCCCATGGACATCATAAGTGATAGTAGGAAGCAATGGCCTAAAAGTGTAATTATAAAATTAAATATGATGATAAATATAATAAAAAATAGCATAAGTCCCCAAAGGATACCTGAAAACTGACTATAAATTCTCATCCATTATAACACAAAATGGAAAACTCTCACATGAGAGCATTTCTCAGGACAAACCAGGTCAGGAGACAAACAAATCTTACCTAAGAATGCCCTAAAGACTGTGAGCAGCTTAATGAGCATTTTGCAACTAATTTGATTAATTTGATTAAGAGCAGAAACTGAATTACAATAAGGATGATCAAAATGAAGTAAGAGCCTCCTGGAAGCCAAATGCATTCTCTTTCATTGTCCTGTTTATGCACACACATGAGTCCAGAAGAAGGTAAATCAAAAAGATACAAATGAAATTGAAATTAAGGAGAAATGGAACTAGAATTCAGCCCAGAGTATTCTATGTAATTTTCTTTTAATCCATATACTAGTCTACATTCCCCCCCTCAATCCTTCAATACTTAGCATGTGTTATAAATAATTTTTATGTTCTCAGTTTCATCAGTACTTCCCCTTCTTTTCAATCCACTATTTGGTAACTACTGCTGACATCTATTGAACTGTTTCTAAAAGCCAGGCACTATTCCAAACTCTGTCACTTAAAGTTCACGTGAACTTTGTAAAATAAATACAACTGTTATCTCATGTTATAGATGAAAAGGCTGAGGCATGTGCTTCCATAGCCTGCTTTCTCAGCCACTGTGTGGTCAGTGGTTGCCCCCAAGAGATATGCCCATGTCCAACCTCTGGAACATTGAATGTGACCTATTTGGAAAAAGGGTCATTGCAGGTGTGATTAAGTTAAGGACCTTGAGAAGATGAGTTCATATTAGGTTGTCAAATTGGGCCTTCCATCCAATGACAAGTGCCTCGTAAGAGACAGAACTGAAGACACAAACACAGAAGAGAAGGCCATGTGAAGATGAAGGGAGAGACTGGAGTGAGTCTATGGCCACAAGTCAAGGAAGGCCTGAAAACCACCAGACGCTGGCAAGGGAAGGAAATGAGCGCGCGCACACACACACACACACACACACACACACACACACAAACACACACACCTGCCGACATCCTCCACCAATCCCTGGAGGGGACATGGCTCTGCCAGATCTTGGACTTTTAGCTTCTAGAAAAGTGAGAGAGAGAATGTCTGTTGTTGAAGCCACCCAGCTGAAGTAATTTGTTCAGGCAGCTCTAGGAGACCAATACTAGAGACACTGTGTATAGGAGGCAACCAATCGATGTTCTCTTAAGCCTAATCACACCTTCATAAATAGTCCCTCCTAGGAACATAAGGGGCCTCCTTGCTCCCATGTGTGGTTTCACTCCTGGGAAAGACCTTACAGAGCTTCTCGCTCTTTACCCTGAAGACACCCTCTGCAGATGGTTCTTCCCAGCAACACTTTCCTGAATGCTGTGTCTGCTAATGGTTCTTATGGTTCGGAACCTACTGTTTCTATTCTATGGCCACGCAGGCTTTTTCCAGTTCAAATAAAAAATGGCTTTGCCTATTGAAAGCGTATTTTATACACTAATTAAATTAGTACAAATAACATGCAATCTATTTGCACTTGAAAATGCGATTCATTCTAACATTACTGTTCTGAAAACTTCCTAACATTTCAATTCAGATGATAATAGTAATTATTATTTTAACACATGCTTTAAAAATGTATACTTAGTATTTCAAATATCCCCTGACATATTCTTCATTGATATACCCTTATTGGAAATCATTTCTAACCCTAGTTGATATTGTGCTGGCAGTCTCTGTCCTTCTGTATCTACCCTCCCCACTCCTGGCCCTGGTCTGAGTTCCAGTGTTGACCATGAAAACCACCCCGCATCTCACCCAGACCTGATTTAGACGATCAGATATGGGACTTTTGAGCTGATACTATTTGGATGAGATTTTTAGTCTTATCTATTGAGTTCCCATTAATTGCATGCCCTTGCCCAACGGTTGCTGGTGAGTTCAGTTGGTGGGAGGCCCCGGTAGACGGAAGGGCACGAGGAGAGTGAGGTCAGGGTATTGATTCCTTCTCTCTTCCTGTGGCACTGAAGGGCTGGCTGTGGCCATGGTCCTCTGGTTGGGGTCGCACCACTTGGCCTGTCAGGTCGCCCCCCATACCTATAACTCTTTCTAGGTGCTGCCCACCCTCTTCCCCCTATTGTGGGACCTGGTGCCTCCCATCACTTATTTGTTTTCTTAAGCCTAACCACACCTTCATAAATAGTCCCTTCAATAAACTCTTTTCCATCACCCATTTAAGGATACTGTCTGTCTTCTACCAGACCCTCACTGACATAGCTATTGAGTATCCCAGCTGACAGCATCAATCTAACACACTGAATAATTTCTTCTCATAGATAAAATTATTCCAGGTTTTCAAAACATTTCTTGTTTAAAAGATTTGCAATTGGCTATGATTGGTGTGAGTTATTTTTTTCTCTCCTTTAACAACAACAACAACAAAAATGTGATAACTTGGGAGAATTCTGTTCCTCTCAGACACTTCTGCCATAACTGACTCTTACCACTGAATGAGATTTTGTTTCCAAAATACCTGTCATCACCATCACCGATGCACTCGGGGAAGGCAAGGCTACAGCCAAAAAGCATGATATGTTGATAGCAACTGAGGCGGTGAAGGTACATGAAGAATTTGAGGAACTTCTCCATTTCCATGTTTTTGACAATTGAGAAGAGAGGTGTTAGCGTGGTGTGGTAGGGCAGCATCTGACATTGGCTGTGGGTGATGTTCATGCAGGCACCTGGGAAGTCAAGATAATTACATTTAGGAGCAGGCACATCAGAATTATACGTTTACAAACTCATTTGATATGAAAGGTTAATGTGTTCATAAGATAAAATATATTCTATAAGTAAGAATGATCATAGACGTATATATACATACATATAAGACTGGGGGATGCACATACATGCAGATGTGTGACAATGAAATCAAGCTACTTATATTCACAGAGGAAGAGCATCTGTGTCCTGGGCAAATGTGTGGAAAAAATACACTCACATGTAGCTGGTGGGCATAGAAATGGGCAATCATTGTTCTGGATCACAGCTGGGCAGAGCAATGTGGATAAGTCTTTTAAATGTGCATATCATTTGACACTGTAATAGCATTTCTAAAAAAATTATCCTAAGGAAATAATTGTGATTTTGAACATGGATTTATCTACAGGAATCTTCATCATTATATAGTTTTCAATTTTTTAAAAGATATAAATCACCTCAGCATTCAATGAAGGGGATTGGTTTAAAATATTACGGAACACACAACAGATCACTTAACTTAGATATATGAAAGATGCTTTAAAAGATCATTTAATCACATGGAATGGTGCTTATAATATAACACATAAAAATAACAAGTCACAAAACAATTTGTATACTATGATCCTGTTTTTAAAAACACGTGATTATACAAGGATTCTCAATCCTGACTATGTTGACAGTTCAGGGTCAGCCCAGAGCCTCTGCTTTCATTTTCTCACGGCTGTCTTTCCTCCTGGGCACTGCCACCTGCACATCCTTTCCTTCCCCCTCATTCCATAAATTTGCATGGTTCGTCTGATATAAATCAAAATATTAATAGGAGTTATATTTTTCTTTTTAATGTTTTTCTGTATTCTCTTCTTGATTTACATCATTTCATTATTTTATAAAAATTAATTGAAACTTTGGTTATTGGTTAAGCAGGCTACTCTTTAAAAGAATCTTCAGGCTTTGAAAATGAAGTGGAAATATTAATTTCAATTATGTTGCAAGAACAGAAAGAAGTTCAACAAGAAAAGGAACAACTCTTCTGATCACTGTACAATTTCTAGTCAAAGAAATGGAGAGAAAAATCTTCCTAAGCCTACGTGTCACTTCATTTTAATAAAGATAATGTTTAAAAAATATAAGGCTGCATCTCTGGATAAAATGGCCAGACCAACCTTTGATCTAAAATACAGAATAAACATACCCTACCGCAGGATTCCCAACCCCCTTTTCTGCGTCATTCATTCAGATAGATCACCTGAAACATCTCTCATCCTCTTCTCTAGTCTATCATAGGCACACTGCCTCGTCTCACATCTCTTACAAAACTCTCTGAAAACCACCCAAGCCCTACAGGAAGTCATTCCTCCAAATGACCAGAGTGTAACCATTCGCTCAAAGAGTCCTACACTTAATGGAAAGACACAAATCCTCATTGGTATATATTTATTGATCGCCGAAAATACACTGAGCTCAGTGGGGCATGATCACAATATGATTTCCACTTTGAAAGGGAACCAGTGACATGCAGAACTTCTCTGTATGCTAGACTCTAGTATAGACATGGCAAAAAAAATAAGTACACAACACTTTTTTTGGATCTCGTCAAAATAAAAGTACAAAATGGGAAAGAAAGGAAAGAGACAAAGAAAAGTACAAATTAAAATACGCAGACCGAACACAAACAGACACATATATACATGAGTTCTGCTTTGCATGAGTGCTGAGGTAGAGAGTTCTAGGCAAGTTTTATAAATATGACATGCAAGTCACTTAGTAATGGAAGTTAAAACACAATTCAGTGTGGGAGGGATTATGGATGGGGAGAACGTATAGACGGGAGACTTCAAAATGGCACGATTGTATGCATGGTGCTACAAGCAGAGTTGCTGGCTTATAAGAGTTGAGAACGAAATTTTCTCCATCAAAAACATGAAATCATTTATGGAAACTTCAGTGTTAAGAAAACATTTGTTGAAAGCAAACCTTGTGCCAGGCATCAAAACAATCACTCAAATTCTCTCATTCACAGTTGTCCCATTTTCACAACCCAGTTAAGCGACATCGCATCTATATTATACATGAGGGAACAATTTCAGAAAGACTAAGATATCTGCCCAACAGTTCACAGCTATTATGTGGAAATTCCAGATCTTCAAACCTATGCCTTCTGAGTAACCTCTGTTTGGAGTCAAAAAATTATTAGAGAAGATAATTCCTAATGGCCAATGAAAAAGAGGCTAAAAAGTATATAAAAATATATCACAAGGTCTATATTTATATTCATAGGTATTATACCCATGTATACTGAGCATATGCTATAATTTCTTTTATATTACATTATTTTCTTTAGGGGTCACCAGCTTTGGAACTTATGTACTTGATGATGAACCACTTTTGAAGCAACGAGATGGCCAGAAGGCTCGTTCACCTCACCTAGCCAAAGAAAATACTGGATATTGAGAGATCATTTCAAAAATACAAGATAGGGAGGAAAATCGTATTTTGGTGGATTATACTATGCTCAAGACAGTGTGAGTTTCACAAAAGAAAAAAAAAAGAATGTGAACTATAATAGAAAAAAATTTTAAATGATATTTTCCTAATAGCAAATTTCCTTAGGAAACCAGAACCTACACTCAGTAAATCATAAAATAATAGTGTATAACCTTAAAAATAAGTCTCAAAATACTTGGTATAGACATACATAGTAATGCTTTATATCTGTGTAATGCTTTTCAAATTTTTTCCAAAGCACTGTCAGATTATAAAATATAATCTTAATAATATAATACATATTATCTTGTTATAAATTAAGAAACTAAGGCTGTCATAGATAGGTATGTAGATAGGTAAGAATGGATGGATGGATGGATGGATGGATGGATGGACAGACGAACGGATGGATAGACGGATGGACAGATGGATAGATAAAAAGGCATCAGGCAGACAGATAAGAAGTGATTTGCAGTAGGACACAGTAATAGAAGTAGACTGACACATAGGCCCTCCATCTCATGACAACCACTACACCAGAGTGGTTAATAGCACAGCAAATGCTGACGGAATTCAAAGGAACAGAAATTTAATGTAGGGTGAACAATTAGGGAAGATGTAAGGAAGAGGAATAACTCATTTTTGATGGTTGAAAGATATATAAATAAGGTCTGGATTGGCAGAAGGGATAAAAAAAGGTACATAGTACTGATAGAGAAAAATTAAATACAAAGGCTGAGATTCATAATTGCATATGACAAAGATTGAAAAGCTTGATTCTGGGCAGAATAGTTCAACAAATTTAGCTGAGAACATGCTCATAGCCAACAGATATAAAAGAGAATTATTCTTTAAGACTCTTGACTTCAATTTTTTTATATTCAAGCCATTGTGCAAATAAATTTTCTATCATCCCTCCTGCCTCAACATTTGTAGCAAATATTATTTTTTTCCTAGAATGTTCCACTGTCTTTGAAACATGTAATTCTAGTGGTATGTTTGTGTACATTCCCACCACGGGCACTCAGTTTTCATAAGCCGGCTGCATGCTGTGTACCATTCAGAGTCGTTTCTCTGTGGGGAAAAGGAAGGGGACTTTTGGAAATGGATTCATTTATTATTGCTACTCCATCTAACATGGGTAAAGAAAAGAGGGAAAAGTCTATTTTTCTTCTCTGAGAATTTTCTAGTGAATCTAATAGAAATTAAAAGTCGGGACGCCACACAAGAACATGTAAAAAGATTCAAAGTATATAATTCATCATCGTTTATGCAGACATCATTACTCAATTTGTGTGTCTTCTCTTTAACAGTTACTTCAAGTTGTGCAGTGGGAAGGAAAGCTTAGAAATAGATCTGAAGACCAAGACAGCCTCTTAATGCAATGTATTTCTGGTGAAACAGAAATATTCTTATTAGATCCTCAATTCCAAAACACCATTACTAGTAAGACATCATTTAATAACAATTAAATAATAAATTTTCAGAATATTTTTTGATTACATGACATGTCCCAATATGAGAAAAAATTAAAATATGAAAAAAGTGCTGCTTGGAGTTGAGGAGATTAGTTATTGACTTTTTCTCTAGTTTTCTTAAACTGACTCAATAGTTTCTAGACTAAACTGAGGCTTTCTCTATTCAGATCACATTGCTAATGTTTCTAGATACTAGAGTTAGGAAGGAAAGATGGGTCTGTTGTAGAGTTTTCCTTATGTTCATTTGGAAACTATAATAAATTCTGGGGTTTTTTTCCTACTCCTAAGATTAGGTAATGTGGAGTTAAAAATTCTTATGTGTTTTTTTAATGCAAAATTAACTTAACAATTAATGGTTAGTTTTTTCTAAAGTAATAAACACTCAATCAAAGGCCCTGAGTAGCTGATCTTAAAATGATGATACCCACAGCCAATCTTATTTAGCAAACCACTTTGGTAGTGGTTAAGGAAAACAACAACAACAACAAAAAATGCTGATTCACTTACTACTCATTTCTACACCAAGTCATTATTACATTAATGGTTTTTACAACACTCACATTCTCTATTATCCCTTAATGACAAATAATTTCATTGTCAATCAGTACAATATATTCACTATTTGTATTTGATTTTGACTTGCATAGAATTTATTGCAATAGTGGGTTCCTTTAAAAATCCATTGAAATCAAATAAAAAAAAAATGTTTTTAAATAAAAGCAAGGCCCTAGCTGGTTTGGCTTAGTGGATAGAGCATCGGCCTGCGAACTGAAAGATCCCAGGTTTGATTCCAGTCAAGGGCACATACTTAGGTTGTGGGCTTGATCCCCAGTAGGGGGCTTGCAGGAGGCAGCCGATCAATGATTTTCTCTTATCATTGATGTTTCCATCTCTCTCTCCCTCTTCCTTCCTCTCTGAAATCAATAAAACTATATTTAAAAATAAATAAATAAATAAAAGCAAGACTGCCTAAATCACAATTATATCACATAATAGTGTTATTTGACAGGAAAAAG